AATCAACCGGACATCTGTTACTGTCCGATTCGTGTAGTGGTGGTAGTAGTAGTAGTAGTCCCAGCCAGTTGAGAAAAAATGCATGTGGCCTCCACCGAAGCGAGAGGTCATGCTCGGACCTGTCTATCCAAGCATACACACACAGAGAGAGATAGAGGAAGGGAAATAAATGCATGCGAGCAGTGATGATTCATCTCGAATTAGGTGCTCCACGCAGATCTTCATTCAGCTGCATCATTTGTTCAGACTCAATTCGTCGGAATGCAGTTAACTTGTTCCCATACAAATGACTCGCCGATTGTTCACACGTTCTCTGATGATTGAGCTAAGTTGGCAGCCAAAAAACTGGCTCCAGCCACGGATGGGGTGAAACGATCTTCTTTTGTACCACGCCCACTCGAGGTGCACGATCGTCTGGGACTGGGGTTCAAGTCGGAATCGGGAGGTGTTTTGATGGATATGGATTCTGATTCGTCCACGGGTTGCTGTGGCAACAGTCCGTCCTCATTTGCAGAGCCATGAGTTCGGTCATTATGATCACCATCTTGATTGCCCGAAGCATCGGCATCTTCTTCGTGTTCCTCCTCCTCGTCATCATCACTGTCTTCCTCAATCCCTTCGGGCACGAGGACACCCTCGTCCAGTTCGCTCATCCCATCTGAATAGTATGCATTCTCGGCCATTTCGGATTCACTCCATTGGCTGTGTTTGGACGAGCTGTGGAATGTATCCCGTTCGGTAGCTGATTTGTTCGCGGATACCTTCAGTGATTTTCGCGGTATGCAATCCTCATCCTCCTCGGATGCTTGACTGAGCGAGTCCAAAGATGGAGGTAAGGCAGGATAGAGGTCGGAATTGTGTGCGGTTCCTGACTTGGATCGATGTGGCTCTGGGTCGTAGAGAAAGGAGGCAGACCCCGGGGCAAATCGTTCCATGGCTTGGGAACCGACTTTACCCACCCATCCGTGCAATGCATGACGTGTATGATGCGAGTTCGGATTGTGTGTTAGGCTGTTGCCAGTGGTCGTGGTCGCGTTTGACCCAGGAATAGTGTTGTGTGTGGGAAGGAGCGGTGGGTTGAGCACGGAGTTCGGTAGTGGATTACGCCGCCCGAGGACTTTACCTGCGGTGGAGAGTTGAGGAAAATCGTAAAAATGGATTATAGTCCTTTCGAATTTCAGACAACCAAAAATGAGGCTAATGCTAAGTATACACATCCTTATCAAGGTAGATTTCTTGTACGTAACCAAAATAATGCTCAACAGTGGTTTCCGGCTCAATTCAACTAGGACCTTGATGAGGATTCGTGCATCTTAGTATCAATTACATTCAAGGAATTGGTCCATCTAATATTTTAAGTGTTTTTGTAGCGTTCTGGTCAATAAAAAAATGCTTATCTGAACTGAGTGCACTTACCACTTCCATCGTCCACAATGGTGGCATTTTCCGGCAACTTTTTGCTTGCATGGGTCATATGAAGGCGTGGATTCGGATTGGCCGAATGACGATTTCGACTGCGTCGGGAACTGAACCACATACTGCAACCTTTGATTGTGCACTTGTGCATCTCCTTCAGGTGCACAGCACTATAGTGAATTTTCAGGGCACCTGGAAAGTAATGGGGTGAGGATGGGGAGTGAAAATGACCTCACTTTGGGAATGCATTTTCAGGCCGGTCAATAAAGTTCACTCGAAATGCACTCAATTAGATGGGAATTTTCATGGCTTACTGTGTCACTTCTCTCCCAATCAAACCGCATTCAGTACTGAGTATCTACCGCTGTGATTGTTTAGTTTTAAAGTGTCTATTTCGTTCTATCCTCAGTAGTTTTCCATCCGTACAGAAAGGTAAATCAAGAACTAATTGGTATTCACACATACGCACACAGATAGAGTTTTTACTCGAGATTACATTCCCTTCAAAATAAAATCTTGAATTTGTCTATTAAAGCATTCCATTTAGCCTATCTCTTCGGAATGCAGTTCGTGTTTCACTCTCAGGGTAAACTGCTTCGTTATCATTACAAGAGAAGTTTTACATTTGGAGGCTTCGTCCGCAAATTACCTTTTTTCGGAAAGAAAAAAATATCAGACGCGTTTGATTTTGTATGTTTTCTTCTTTTTTTTGGGGAGGGAGGGAAGAAAATCAAAGGTTTGTCAGTTTTCCTCCGCTTTCTTAACCATCCCTATAATTTTAACTTAATCGCACACACACACACACACACACACCGAAGTCGTCATTCATTGCGATCTTTACTCATTGTTCCATATACAATAGTGTGCTAACTATGCTACCTTTTTGTCGAAGTTCGATAAGTTGAATCTCCATCCTGCTCCTTTTACTTCACTTTTCAGTGCATATTTCACATTTCAGTTTACTACTCCCCTGCGGCATTTTGCTCACAATATGTCAGGGTTTTGAAGCGCATGTGTTTATCAGTCAACAGTTGCTGAATTTCACGAGCTACATAAAAAGATAAGAAACTAGATTGTATTCATCACTTCATATAAGCTAGCCTGGCCTTTGCCCTTTTCAATCATTGGCGCATCCTATTCCATTCCATAACTGTAAGCGTGCAAAGTTATACAACCAAAAATCCAGTGGTTAGTACGAATTTTAGACAGCAGATGTTGGACTGATGAAGATAGTATTCTGATTTTTTCAATTTTGGTTTATTCTTTTGAAGAGTGATATCGTGTCCGCTTTCCTGAACCGCTCACTGTTGTCAGATCAATGTGGTGTACGGACAATCGAACAAGTCTATTTTTTTCGTTGTTTGACTACTGTTAAATCCTATAAGTAGTCGTCTTCGAATTAACGAAATGTTCATATGGTCAAGTGCCGCATTTTTGTTGTGGACCACTGTACAAAACAAATTAATCTTCAGTTCATCTAAACAGCTATTAACTCCGAAAGCACCAAACTCAACCAAAAGACGGAATTTAACCGCGAAAACAGGTCTGTTATCATTATATTCCAAAGATAACTCTTTTCTTAAAAAAGGTTACCACACATTTTTCTTCTCATAGCTCACCTTTGTCACAGAATGATTTTTTACACGTAGTGCATAATACCCTCTTCTTGTTTCGAGACAAGTTGGACCCGGACAAGCTATTGTTCCGCTCATCTAGAAGACCAGCTGCTGAGCCTCCATGTCCGAATTCCGTCGTACCCTTCCGCGCAGTCAGTGTATCTCCACGCCTTGAATCGGTTTTGCGTTTCATTGGTCCTAGTGATCCAAGTGAAGAACAATTCTTGGGTTTTTGATTCACGGACAAATCACGTGGTCGATGTCGCATGTTACTGGTCATTTCAAGGTCATAAGTCGAACTTGGACAGGATTCAAACGGATCCAAGGGAACGTTCAGTCCGGATAGCGTTTTCAGCATGGCTTGGGCATTTTGAACGGGTGTACTGGCCTGGAGTGTGGAACAGTTCAAATTGGCATTAAATGCACCAAGCTGTTGTGCCAAAGCTTTACTGGAAGCCAAAAGTGAATCAGTTGAAGTCGTACAGTCCATTAGACTCTTCGATTGTCCGTCCATTGACTCACTTTTCTTCAAGAAACTTTCCACCAAACCTTGACTCAACGAAGGCCATAGCCCAAGCTGATCTGCAGTAGGTTAGGGAAACAAAAGTTTAAATAGCGTTAAAAATGTCTTTGCAGCTGGTAGGAAAGTTGTTGATTATTTGCAAAATAACCCCGAGTTTATAAACCTTTGATCTAAACCCCATATATACCGAATATTTCATAAACGTTGTTATGTTCGTTATTCCATACATCAAATAGGACGCTTTGTGTTCCATGCTGAAGGCACGCGGCCGTTTCGATTGAGACAGAACACCTGAGTTTTCAACTGTTTGTTCAAAACGTCACCACATGTCATTACATTTTTACACTGAACCGTTGCCCTTGCTGATAGAGTGATACCCTCTTGAAGCTAGTGCGTACCAACGTGAGCAAAGTTAGTTATTTTATTTAAACTTTGGGGGTTTTGCTATATGAACAAAACGAATCCGTTTGATCAGCTGCCTTGTCCCTAAGTGCGTACGGAGCGCACGTTTTACCGTTTGATTCCGAGTTTGACTCTCAAAAATGTTGAATGATATTTGGCTTCCCAGGTTGCGGTAAATTGTACTGAATATGGAGATATCAGCCGTACACAAAAATGTGAGATTCATCATGTCCACAGAGTGTGATTTGAATTTGTAACTGGACTCGAAGGTTCTCAGTTTGATTTCCGCTTTGAACACGAAACCATCTACCTTTCTGATGAATTGTAAGATTATGACAGATTTACTTATACGATCATTGGATGATCACTGGGACAATTTGTTTGGTCCTTTGCTCACAAAACATGCTGTCAGTTTAAATGGAAGCTCATGAGGCAGAAAATAATGCTCAAATTTACGGGACTATTCTCTGTAGGATCACTGTACCCACTCCACATATCTACGAAACACACAAACGCACATGCACATAGTAAAGACTTACTTTGATCGAAAGAGGGAGATACACCCTGACCGGTAGGTGCCATTCCAGTTGTCCATGTTGGAGGTTGTTGACCCACGGGGATCGAATTCGGGCCGGTAGTGTAAGATAAACCATTTGATGGCAGATTTGGACACCCGGGAACGTTTGGTGCAGGAGGATTAATTGATCCGGGCCAGGTGGATGGATTTGTTCTATTTGAGCGGAATGCGGCCGCTAGGGCATTCATGATTTGTGGGGGTTGCACTGGAAATCCAGGAATGGGAAAAGGCAAGGGACCGACCAATGGAGGGCCTGTTGTAGCTGCTGCTGCTGCCGGACTATGCTGTTGCATTGCGGTTAACCAGCTGTCCAAAGGATTAGGAATATTAGCTCCGGTGCGCGAATCCTTGATATCGCTGATGTTTTTCTCTGTTGATGAATTGCATTCGTTATACGATTGCGTATGTGATGTGCGATCCGTTTCTGCCAGACACAGTGGTGGGGCTAGGTTACCCATTGGATCAAACGGATTACGCAATCCGAGACCGCTTTTATCCGGGAAACTTGAATTGATGAATGTAGACAACCCTCCAGCACTTAGACTCGGACTGAGACAGGGAAAACCCGCCAAAGCAGCTGCTGCCATGGCTGCGACAAACGGATTGGAATGATTTAGCTTCTCAAATGCGGTTTGCAAATGACCCGGTTTGATATCACGTGATTCCGCGTTAGTCATGTTATTACCACTGCCTATAGTGGTAGTAGTGGTGGTGGTAACCATAGCATTTGGACCGATAGTGCAGGTCGTGGAAGGTGTTACTGCTGCACAATCCAACTCACGTCTTTCTCTCAACTGAGGACTTGGGGTGCCAACTGGGTCTGAACTTCTTTGTGTTTGTCCTGCAGTTTCGATCACATGTGAACCGTTCCTTTTCGAGGCGTCATTAGACGGCGATGTGGATGAAGATGAACTTCCAGACAGGGAAGACATCGTGAGAGAACCAATAGTGGTTGGGGAAGACATATTAGCTCCCGAGAATATCATTGACTTCATGTCCATTTCCGGCTTTATATCTTTCGTTCGGGGACTTTGACATGAGGTTAGTTTACTAGGCGGATGCGAACCGGTCGAAGTTACGGTGGTCTTTATTGGTGAGGTGGATGGATTCATGGGACATATTGGTATAGTTGAGTTGTTGGAAGAGTCCATCAGTCGGCCACAGATGCAGTTGAACCCGGTGAGCATTACCTGTGCCAGTGTTCGGGTTTCGGGAAAGCGAAGGAACTGTTGCACAATCAGACGTTCTTCTTCCAGTCCGCATATTTCCCAGCGGTCACGAATCTGTCCATTGTTATTCTACAATAGATGGAAACAAGTGATCAATCGGTTGAAAATGAAGATTCATGGAGTGTGATAATTAATGAACTAAGTATTCCTTGATAAACAAGAATCAAGTTGGTAGCTATCTAGTTTCCACTAAGTAACCTGTGTAATTATTTAATTCAATTTTTTACACAACAAATCTAAATTTTAATCGTATTTCCGCCTCCACTGAAGAATGACTTGTAAAAGGTCAATTTAGTAGTTCCACACAGTTAGATGATTACTTCTATGTAAAAAGATCCAGATAAATAGCTTATGCTGTGATAAAGGGCAATAACTCTTTACATCTGTAATGAAAGCCCATAGGATTTAATTAATAAATATTTCTGATTATTCTTGACAAAAGTGGAAAAATTTATCCATCTAGAATACGTAATTCAATGTTGAAGTAAACGGTAACTTGGAGTAGCAAATTTGTAAATAATTTTATAGTGCAAAACAGTTTCTTTCGGTTTATTTGGGGATTGTTGTTAATTATACATAAATTTTTGATTCATGCTTTCCAGAGTCTCATTACCTGTTATTTTTATTATTATAAATGTCATTGATTTATTTATTGACGGCCATATATTGCAACATATAATAGTATTCAGAATTCGATTTTTTCTACTTAAAAAATAAAAGTAGTATGAATCGAAACGCAGCAAACTTACCGTAAGCATATATCCTCGGCTATAGTCTTGAAATGTCCACCCAAAAGTCAACAGTAAACGCACCACATCGGCCTGCAACAATTGAGCAGATAGAAGCCGATCCAACAGAATTTTGATACGAATCGGGATAGCGTGACAGCCGAACAAGGTCATGCTCATCAATTCGAACGTGGCACTGAACATGCAAGCCGTACCGGCCGAACTGGAATCAATACAGACCGGATAGTTGGACATTTTGGCCACAACTGACAGGGAGCAAAAGGAACCGTGAAAGGAGGAAGGTTACGCATAGAAAATAACCTGCGTTTACTTTGCAACTGAACCGGCTGTCGAGTAGGTCGCCTTCCCGCGACCCGCTTCCTGAATACCAGCACCAGCTCTGGTACATGATTGTTGTATTGCAACTGTACAGAACTAAAACGATTGCTAATATTATTGATATCGATAGTGGTCACAATACTGTAGTTGAACTGCTTCATTAGATTCTCATTAGGGATGAACTGATTCATGCGATAACCTCCTCTGTTCGATAGGGATCATCGCATAGGAGTCTGTGCTACAATCTCGATCGCTCACTTTGCATTTGTATTTGTGTAACTTGTGTAAGCACCCATGCTTACATGTGCACTGTTCGTCACGCGGAATGAAATAGCAATAATAGTAAAATATAACACGAAAATTAAAGAATGTCGCTGATATTTATTTCATGTACAAAACTTTGAACGTAGTTCACTTGCGACCTGTTCCTTTTCGATGAGGAGTCGGGCCAAGTAGGGTACAGGGGAATTTTTATAAATGTTAATGCGAGAGGTAGATGTCGAAATGAGGAGCGTGTGGACGGATGGGAACGACAAGACGATAGATCAGGGTGTAGTGGATGAAAAGGATCATCTAGAATCTTATCGGTAAACACAACCATCAATGAGTTTTGTGATTAATGAATCGATCGGAATTAATGAAGCACGATTGATGATCGTCAAACCACGGTGAATTGTTTTGAANTGAAGTCTTGTTTTAAAAGACTGGGAAACACTACTGGGAAGCAACAAAGTAGAATGGGTAAAACGCATTGATGAACGAAGGATGACAGGACTGACTGTGGGGGTCGGAACTGCCTCAGTTTGCGTAACTGAAAAGGTAGGCTTCTCAATTTTCCCACACAGTTGTAAATATGTGTAGACCAACGAAGATTGCTTTCGATGGTGACACCCAGGTACTTCACTGAGGTCATTCTCGATACAGGTCTACCGTTAAGGGTAGCAGAGTCCGTTGTTAATGAGGAGCGGGAAAGACTGAAAACACACTTTACGCACTTAGATATGTTAAGACTGAGACCAGATTGGTCAGAAAACTATTGGATGTGGGATAGATGTTCCCGCAAATGTACTCGGAGATTGTTGTCGGGGTTTTTGCAACTCTACTATTGATTCGGCTAAAGGTGGATTCTTCGTTTTTTTTTCATCTGGACTCGCACTTTGAGCAATGCAATTCACACTGTGTTTGTGTGTCTAACTGACGGCGAAATGCAGACATAACTTGGTCGAAGAGCGTCTGCAACTCAGCCAAGCAAAGCCAAATCCCTGATTGACTAAATTGCAAACATGCTCACTTTCCCCGATTTCTTCTGTGTAGATATTATACATTTACCTGAATAGACTTATCGATACAAACGAATGAAGAAATCCATTGAGCATACAGGAACTACATGGATTATCGATTGGCCGATGAGTGTGCGCTGGTGATGCTATGTTTTGTTTTCACCTTCAGAGTATGTCCGTGAGACAAACAGTGCTAGGACTGGACTGTGCATGGTGAAAGAAGATGCATGGTGAGATGGCAGCATTCAGTCGACAGAGTCCCTGCTCGGAGGTACATGTAGGTGTCACTCGAAACAATCATCTGGGTAACCCGAGGCCAACAAGATGACAGCCACATTCCGGCGTACAGTCAGTAGTTGACCATAATTCGATCACAGAGATACCGATTGATGTGTCACTCCGTAGACGACCGAACCAATCCAGAAAAAAATCGAACAAGAACGAAGAGAGGTGTGTGATGCGCCAGTGACCGACTAAAACAGTCGCAGATAAATAGAACAAGTGAATTAGCGTGCTCTGCCTGTTGATAATCGGTCGTACATCATTGAACATGTGGGTGTGTGCGTAACTTGATTTCGAATTTGTTCAATACACGGTCTTCCTTACGAACTATTTGTAGGAAATGTTTGGCGCATGCGTAAATTAGGTGGGACAATTTGTTTGTATGAGATGACTGGAGCGTTTGGTGGCTTGGCAAATCACAGAAAAATTGTCTCATTCCAATCAAAGATTATGTTTTTAAATTGGGTCAAGTTTGCTATATTGATGATGATTATAATGATATTACCAAGAATTTGAATAATAACAATAATAGTGGGAAAAGATAGAAGTTTGTTCCAATAACTTTCACACACAGATCAGCTTAGACGAGATGAGCGCTCGAGATAGCCCAGGAAAAGCTGTGATTTGATGAGGATAGGTGAAATCGGGTCACATGATTTAGTTGTATCGGTCACAGTGGTGGCCATCTTGGTCGTGGCAAGATCGAACGGGCGAGCGAGAGATGGAGAGAGAGAAGGAAAGACAGCATCCGATTGACCCGTTGTATTTGCACGTGATCACAGTCCGCTTGAACTGGTAGTCCGTCCGTGTAACAGAAGCGGTCCCAGTCCCAGTGATCGGAAGTGTGCCAGACTGTCCGTAATGATGTATCCATGGATCAATCCATCCACCGGTGATTGTGCAAATGGACACAGGTGAACGGGTGTATACGTGATTGAACAAATGGATTACTGTGTGTGTGCCGGATAGGGATTAGGCACACAGAAAACCTCGAATTAATGCGGCCCGGTTTCAATGCAAAGCAAAATGAATGCGTACCTGGTCACCAAGATTCATGTTCGATCGCGTAATACGCACAACGCTTCGCCTCGCCTCTCTCGCTGTTTCACGTATACGGCCAACAGAGCTTGCATGCGTATGTGTGCATATGCGCATGTGTGCGTGCGCGTGTGTAGCGAATATGTTTAAACGTGTGGGTTTTTTAGCTGCGGTTAAATATATTTCAACACGCATATTTTTCTATATATCCACAGGTAGTAGTAATGCGTAAACGGACAATTTGGGTCGCGTGGATCCACCTGGACACGTACACCAAAAAAAGCTAACTTAATGCGTTTGAACTGTCCATTATCTGACTTGGTCAACCTTCAAGTTCGGGTGCATAAATGGAACCAACAGGCCCGGGGGGTCGGGGGTCGGGGAGGATGGGGAGAGTTGGCGTTCACGTATGAACCTAAGCCCGAAGTTTAATCACTACTGTTGTTTCCCGTCTGCCTGGAACAATAAAAACCTGATAGTATGTCGAACTGAACCTCGGCGGCAACTTGAGGCAAAACGAATCGGTTTTTCGATAGTCATGGTTTCCTCTCGTTGTGTGTGTTTGCAACACGTAATTTCAGTTGCATGACGGACAGCTAGGAAGAAACATTCAATATGACAAAAGACACTGTGTATCTGTTTGCGTTTTTCTCTCCATGGTTTGCCCCCTACCTACCCCTCTCCCCTCCGAAACCTTTCTCATCCGCTGTGCTTCATTGAATTTCCTTGTCCAGATGGAGACTAAATTGTTCCTCCGTGTTTATCGTACCAGAAAAGCGTCTCCAAAACGTCTCGGACATCGTATGTGTGTGTGTGTGTGTGTCCAGTTGTGTCTCACTGTCTCAACCAAGATCTTTGTCAGGTCATAAAAAAACTTTCATCAGGCGACACTGACCCATGCAAGCCGAAATCGCGCGCGCTCGAGAAAGAGCACGAGGCGTGTGTGTGTCCTCGGCTCTCACACCGGGTCGAGTTAAAATCTTGACTATTCTCGTCAAACAACTTCATTGTCATAACCCTGTGAGCGAACGACAGCTTCACTCATTAGCACGTTTTGGGGACTGTCTCGGGGTTTCCGGCATGCGTGTGGATGTATGGGGGAGGGGGGGGGGGAGGAGGGG